CCCCCCCCCCCCCCCCCAATTTCTTTACCCTGTGTCACCTGCGTCTGAGTTGGTTTCTTTCGACTCTACGGAGTGTAGCAGTGGTGCTTTCTACCTTATGGCTCAAGCCAAACGAGATATATTGCCGATGGAAATGAAAAGGCCATCTTTTGCCAAGTCGCTGGTGTCATTCATATCAGCCAGCAAATAAACTATACTATGAAGGACAACGTCATACAATGCAACAGCAGACACACTTCTGTCGCTCGCAAGATTCTCGATTTTCACTATTTACCCGCCCATCTTAACGCCGACTGTTGGGCAAACCAAAGAGATCCAAATGAAGCCCAGACCAGAGGCTCTCCCTCTACAGCTCTACTGTTACTGAGCAGATGGACCGACCCCTGTCGAGAGTCTGAACCTTTACGCGGTGCAGGGGATTAAAGGGACATTGGTGGTGGCCGATGTTCCCGACCAATGCAGACTCGACGAGTTTCCTTCGCTCTTCTTTTTATTTTCATCTTCTCACGAGGAACGAGAGTCTTACGAAGAAGTGGAAGGATACGGAGACATTTGAGATAATGATTAATATTTTCAGTTGTGAAGCAGTCCAGATTTAATATTAATGTTAATGATAATGACAAAAAGATGCACTGCTGGGAATTTGGAAGTGATGTGTACCTCTATCGAGATGCCTCGAATACCGAATCTACTAAGTCTATTTTGTAACCCCCAAAAGAAAATGTCTATTTCGCTTTATGGTGCTTGTGCGCTGCGCTGTCCTCGCATCCAATTCCACTACTGATAACCTCCATTTCAGGACCACCTCCGCCTAATGGTCCTCTTCTTCAGCATCAACCGAGAGCATGAATACCCGATGTTGATCTTTGACGTCTCCCCTCTTCTCATCCTTTTTCTTCTCGTCCTTTGTCTTGCCATCGTCCTTTCCTTTTTTGTCATCCTTGGTCGTATCAACAACGCCATCCTCAAGTTTACCGATTCTCTTAACGGCATTGCCGTCGCCATCCAGGTCAACGACTACATCGTTAACATCGAGGCTTCCATCTTCGGTGTATTTCCACATCAGTTTGATTTCTCCACGAACCAGACCCGTCAACCATAGCGAACCTAGCACGCCGGGGACGAGGTATAGAAGCGCAGGCTGGCCACGTTTAAATATCAAAAGCATGGCCAAAGTGACGCACATTCCAAAGAGATAGCCAGTGACTGAAGCATAGAAATAGGTTTTGCGGAAGCGTGTAGCCGCTAGGTCTTGAGGCACCTGCCTAGCCCCGGAGATGAAGAAAGCCCCGCGAGTCCAAAGGTTGTCTCCCCAGTTACCCTTGACGTTAACGTACTTGGCCTTGACCTCCTTGTACTTGGTCTCGCTTCTAGTGACGAGAGCTCCCGAGGATAAGTCTTTTTCAATCAGCTTCAGATCGGTACTCTCGTACTTGATCTTCTTCTCGTAGTGGAGCCAGAGGTCAAATCGAAGGGCTAGACCCATGACCATGCCTGGAATAACAATGTCACCCAAACCAAGAATGCTTCTGCGATCCGCGGCCTGGAAAGTGAGCTTGATGGGCACATCCAGCTTTGTTGCGACCGTGACCATATAGGGGCTAGAAAGAGTTAGCTGACAGCCCAGATAGAGAATTTAAGTAGCCAACTCACGTGTAAAACACCATGATGATGTCGTAAAAGAACAAACCGACAAGTATAAGAGTGCTAGTAAAGAAGTCGGTTGGGGAGATAAGGAGCAGCGAACCGTAACACATGGCATAGCCAAGTGTGTTGGCCAACAGAGGCGATGTAGTAGACGAGTAGATAAGCGCAGTAGCCAAAGCCATAAACAAGGACACGACATGAGCAAACTTGATTCTGCCTTCCTCCTTGCCCATGCCATGAATAAAAAGCTTGACTGCCCAGTGTCGAGTGAGAAGACCTCGCAACTCCCATCCTGACTTGCGAATCTTGTCCGAAAATGCCAAACAGGCAAAAGTTCCAGGAAAAGGATTTGCTGTCACGGGAGCTTCTGAAGCTGGGTTACCTGCGTCATCACAGACCCGGACCGATCTGTCCTTCTGGCTCACAGCTCTCAAACGGCCATCTCGTCCTCGCCAATATCGTGGAAAGACCAAACTTGTAGCCACTTCGATCCCATGGGAATAGATAGACACCAAGCTGGCCACCGACATGGTAGACATATACCATCTCAGGATTTTGTTGAGAATGTCGGGATCCTGAAGCCATTGGATGAGGTAGTACAAGCCAATAAGAACACAACCAGCCATGAGTGGAAAGATGATAGCATCAGAGGGCTCCAGTCCCTGCGCGAATCGTTCATCGGCCTCATCCTCATCACCTGGCTTGTTCTTCTTCACGGGCGCCGCGGAAGGAGGTCGACGAAGAGCGGCGTGGGCTCCAAGATAGATGATGCCGATGGCGCTGAGAGCGAGTCTAATCTCAAGCAGAAGAAAGCTTTGGTTTTGAAGATAGGAAAAGGCAGACAACCAACTCTCTCCATTTGCTGAGGTAGAGTCCAGCGCATCAAAAGAGCCCTCGAGCGTAGACGTATCTGTAGCGTTTCCGGCCATTTTGTGTAAATGGTTGTTTGGTGGTGATGTTGTTGGAGACCGGGAGCAACGTGTTCGAAGTCTGGACAGAGTCGTAGAGACTAGACTAATTCATCTCAACGATAACGTATGTAGTTGATATGCCGCTTTATGCAGTCCTGATTGATTTTGAATTTTCCTGGCAGTGCCAAGATTTTTCTAAAGGGGAATTCCACAAAGAGCGATGAATATCTTGACTTGTAGTGTTTCGTTACTAAGTCAGTACTTGGGTAGTAGGTAGATACTAGGTTAGTTGGATGCCCGGAGATCAATGATGTTGGCTGGCTGAAACCTACCTACCTAGGTAGGTGCCCAAGGCTGAGATCCAACACTACCAACTGGGTAGGTACCTACCTAGGTAGTCTGGTATGGAGTCTAGAGGGGCACCTACCTGCAAACAGCCCAGCTCCATGTTTTTAGCGACCAATCACTCAATAAAGTCGCTAAAAACAATCAGGAACATTGGATGGAACCCGACGTCAGAAAATGCGACAGTCCCCTCCATTATACAGTTAACAAATACTTACCTTATCGCACCCAGGTACGGACACTACACTCTAATACAGCAAGCAATCATGACGACAAACATTGTGCTTGAAACCACAATGGTACGCTTCAAAAGTCCTCAATTACCAACGCGTATATACTGACCCGCCACAGGGTTCGTTCACTCTTGAGCTGTACACCTCGCACGCCCCCAAGACCTGCAACAACTTCACCACCCTCGTTCGTCGCGGCTACTACGACAACACCATCTTCCACCGCATCATCCCCAACTTCATGGTTCAGGGCGGTGATCCTACAGGGACCGGTCGCGGAGGAAGCTCTATCTACGGCGAGAAGTTCGAGGACGAGATCGATTCAAGCCTGAAGCACACGGGCGCTGGCATCTTGAGCATGGCCAACGCGGGCCCAAACACGAACGGATCACAATTCTTTGTTACGCTCGCTCCTACACCTTGGCTCGATGGTAAGCACACCATCTTTGGCAGGGTGAAATCCGGCATGGGTACCGTCAAGAGAATGGGCTTGGTCAAGACTGGTTCTGAGGATAGACCGGTGGAGGACGTCAAGGTTGTCAAGGCGCGTGTTGCGGAAGAGGAGGAACAGATCTAGATAAAAGTTTCCTGAAGAGTCTGGGAGTAGATAAATTCTTTGCATAGGTACCCGGCGTTCAGGAGCATGGACAGCAAATCTCACATTTCGTCTGGGCACGCATCACGTTCAAGATCAGACAAGTATTCTGAAAGTATCAATTTTTATACTTGTTACGCCAAAAAACGCCCCGGTCCCTTTTCCATGGATGCTGTGAATATCCGGTCCCGGTAATCCTAGCCAACCAGTCCGCCGTGCCAATGCAATGTTGTTGAGATAATACAAGTGAATAAAGGATCTCGATAAGCAAGTGGTCTCCTTGGTCGCGTAACATATTGTCAGCGTCTATGTATCCAACCATAACTATATGTCTGATCGGTGTACTCTACGCAGCGCGGGAAGTGCAACTTTCAAGAAACGCAGTCGTAACAATGATGTATCGCATCATCCAAGATGCGATATCTCGAGAAAACCTGAGCTCGTTGAGCCAAGGCCTACTGAGGTGGAGACGAGAGGGTGTCGGAAGATTCAGACTCTCCAGTAGCCTCCCTAATGAGATTGGACTTGGGCTTAGGTGAGCCCAGCTGAGGTTTGTTCATCTTAAGTTTCTTGACAGGACTGATTCCCTTAGACACTGCCTTCTTAGGAGCCACTTCCACCGACTCGCCGTTGGTATAGTCAGCTTTTTGCTCTTGGCTTAAAGATGAGAGTCCTTTGAGCTTATCCTTTTTAAGGCTCGGCTTTGTCTTGAGGATGACCTTCTTGGTGACTGAGGACGTAGGCTTAAGCTTCTTCTTCTTGTGACTGTTTTCGGAATCCTCTTCATCGCTGGCGTCGCGCTTCTTTGGACTAGTGGCACGAGAGCCCGGAGCAGGTGTCGCCTTTTGTGATGATGGAGGCGTTGGATCATTTTGAGAACCACCGTTGCTCAACTTCTGCGCCGCAGCTCTACTGGCATTACGCCCACTGTTGCCAATGCACGAGCCCATATGATTATTGAGTCGAGTAACGAGGATACAGCGCTTGCACTTGCTGCAGGTGGCGGAAGGGAAGGAGAGAACGTTAGGCGGTCGTTGTTCGGGCGTTGGGGAGTCGGTATTCTTCTCCATGTCCTTCTTCTTCTTGCCTCGACCAGGACCGGGCCCAACCCAGCTCTGGCCGTAAATGTCACATCCAGGCTTATCGATGTAAGGGTGTTTCTTACAATAGATGATGCTGGGATCGGGCTTCTTGGCACCCTTTCCATCGGTGGGATAGAGGAGTCGGGGTAGATGGCATCGGGGGCAGAGAATCTCGGCGGTTGTCTTGAGGGGGTTGCCCTTGAGCAATACTTTCCCATCCTCGTAGATGGCGGCGTCGGTCTCTATTCGTACATCAGGTTTACTATCGACTGTGTTGGCATCGGACGCGTCGGCGGCCAGTTTCTCGATTCGAATCGCAGCAGTGGTGGCTCTTGCAGTCTTCTCTTCGCGGTGCGTCTTCATCAATAGATCGCTCAGAACATTGTAAAGCACATCGTCTAATACAGCATGTGCCTGGAGTATTGTTGGTTAGCGATCAGTTTAAGATAGAATTGTTGATGAGGGATAAGCAAAAAGCTCAATGCGAAGTCGCCGCGATAGGGGTCGCAGAGATGAGGTATCATCGCGAAGGATATATGATGGGATGGCACCCGCGAGCGACTTTGTTGTTGAGAATCGCATTACATTGCATCGCAGGGGATTTGCTGAGCTGAGCAAGTAAAGAAAGAGGCAGCGAAAGGAAACGACTTACCAACTTATCCATAGACGAAGCATCATCATCATCGGCGCGTATGACGCCCGCCCTGCCTGTGCCAGCATTCATGATGTCGCCGGGTATCCTGAATCCGAATCCGAGCCAGGGCCGACGATTTTTGTACAGGAAAGCAAAGCGGAGGGTGTGTAACTGAAATCGTGTGATGAATGATGCCGAGGAGCGAAACGGCAGCTACCGTACTCTGTACCGTACCTGTACCGTATGGACGGCGGAGGGGGGTGTGCACGGAATGGAATTACAGGCCAGCCCGGGTACAGTAGTACTGTAAACTAATGGGACTAGGTACTAAGGTACAGTACAGTAAGGCTTGTTGCGATATTGGGGGGGGGGGGG